GGGGAAAAGTTGGCGGCCGAGCCTCCCCCGGGCTGGGCGAGGGATGCTCGGAGTCGGAGAGGGAGGTATCGGGGATGTCTGTGTTCCGCACCCCGAATCACAGCCCTGCCTCTTGTCCCTGCGAGAGGTGGCAACCTCCCCAGCCTGGCTGGGAAAAAAACCCCTTCTTCTTGGTGCACCTTGGAAAGGCAGATGTTGCAGGTGGAGAGGAGAGACCCTCCAGGCACAGAGAGAAGGTGCAGTTGGCCGGGAGCACCGGTGGGAATCCTTGCAGCTCGGGAAAAGAGCCCAGGGCAGAGGCACAGAGATGCTGAAGGGAGGGGAACATCTCCCTGCTGAGGAAAGGCTGAGGGAGCTGGGGCTGTTGGGCTTGGAGAAGAGGAGACTGAGGGGTGACCCCATTAATGGTTACAAATATGTAAGGGGTGAGTGTCAGGGGGACGGAGTTAGGCTTTTCTCAGTGATGACCAGTGATAGGACAAAGGGTAATGGGTGTAAATTGGAGCACAGGAGGTTCAAGGTGAATATCCGAATTTTTTTTTACTGTAAGAGTGACAGAGCCCTGGAACAGGCTGCCCAGGGAGGGTGTGGAGTCTCCTTCTCTGGAGACATTCCAACCTGGACGTGTTCCTGTGTGATGTGCTCTGGGTGCCCCTGCTCTGGCAGGGGGGGTTGGACTGGATGATCTTTCGAGGTCCCTTCCAACCCCTAAGATTCTATGATTCTATGAAAAGCAGTGGGGGATTTTGTAAGCCCTTCCTGCAGTCGGTGCTTTCAGAGCCCAGCCAAAGGCCACCCTCCATAAACCAACCTGCAGAGCTTATCTTCCTCCGAGAGGGGAACCAACTCAGGCAGCAGGAGTGGAGCAACACATGAGTGAGGATGGGAGCAGAGGGATCACTCAGTGCTGGCCGTGGAAAAACCAAACACCAGAGCAGTGTATCTGCTGGCATCTGGCAGGGAGCATCCCAGGGCAGAGGTGAAGCAAATCTGTCTTTGCATGGAGCAGGTGGTCTTGTTTCCACAGGGAAAAGGAGGGATGATGCTATGATCCCTCCCTCTGTTTTTTCCTTTCTCTGGTGTTTCAGGCACCATCATCTTGCCCACGTGGCACAGACACCAAGGGTACCCAAGGTGAAGGGCTTTGCTCCCACAGCTCTTTGGGGTAAAAAGCACCGAAATATTAAGTGGTTTATATTTTCCTGCTGTTCCATTGACCACAGAACGAGAACAGATCCCACCAGCTGGTGGCTG